CCTGCCCAAAACTGGACTGTTCGGCTAGGGATACTCAGTTAGGGAGCGACAGCAGCTCCTCTTCCTCCTCCTGGACGTCCACCCCTACTGGATCTGAATGCCGGCAGCTCGTCCTCCTGGACGTCCACCCCTACTGGATCTGAACGCCGGCAGCTCGTCCTCCTGGACGTCCACCCCTACTGGATCAGAACACCGGCAGTTTGCTTTCTTGTTCAGTTCATCAGTTGTTTGTTTCATAGTTTCATTCATTGGTCCTTGGTTAATTCCAACAGCAGGCGGCAGCAGTTTAGTGGTCTAGTGTTAGTATGGAGTCAGGAGGAGGAAATGATGGTGATGCTAGTGCAGCAGCAACGGCAGCAGAAGAGAGAGCAAAGATTATCCAAGAAGAAAAAGATCAAAGATTAAGCTGCTGCTTGGCTGCCTGAGCTGCTGCTTGGCTGCTTGAGCTGCTGCCATTTATCTTATATCTTATATGCTATTTATGCATTTATGTTTGCTGTGTGAAACTCTGCCTATGTCTTCTAGGCATAGCCGGTCCCAAGCCCGGGTAAAGGAGGAGGGTTGTGATAGGCTTGGCGAGCCAACGTAAAAACTAGCCAGTCTCATGGGTATGAAACCCATTTGAGCGAGAGTAGTACTAGGATGGGTGACCTCCTGGGAAGTCCTCGTGAAAGGGTTTCGTATCTAAAGGTTATGATAGGCTTGGCGAGCCAACGTAAAAACTAGCAAGTCCTTTGGGTATGAAACCCATTTGGGCGAGAGTAGTACTAGGATGGGTGACCTCCTAGGAAGTCCTCGTGAAACGGTTTCATATCTAGCCTACCCCAACTTGTTTGGGACAAAAGGCTTAAGATGGACATGGAGAGATGCTTGCTGTGTGAACCACTAAACCTTATCTATTTCAGACTCTCAGTTATCTATATGTGCTATGTTTCCTATTTTCTTTGCATACTATTCAAAAACAGCCAAATTCTGGCCAATTTAAAAAAAAAACGCTTAATCCCGGCTAAGCTGCCATTGCTCTAAGTTGTGGCCTTCTGCTCCGCTTACGCTTACCGCTTTTTTGAACATTGATCATATGTATCCTCAATTTTAGCCTTCATCTGCTTAATCCAAATATTCATGTTTCATACAACCAAATCCATCAAAATATATTGCAACAATATCCCACAGCAACATGCAGGGTATCATCTAGTTCACCAAATTTTGGTGCGCAAGCTGTTTACAGGATTTAACTCAGATTGCATCTCTAATAAAAGCACTAGGAAAGAGAAAGAAAATGTGCATGTTACAAACCCTCAACCATTTACCAAGACTGAATCAACCCTCAAGTACAGAATCAAATACTTCACACCCTGAACTGTTGAAACTAGATGGTCTGCCCAAATGCAAGCACATCAGAGGTCACAAGTTTGAGGAATGGGCTGATTAATTTGATTAATTACTCTTTATTTTCCAGACTTAACTCTGTAGTGAAGTACATGTACAGTCTCTGAGCCCGGTGGTGCCACAGTTTTTGGTTCTCAAATTAACTCTGTCAGAAATAATTAACTGATTATTGTGGTTGTTTCAGTTTAGTAAATGGGGCTGGGCAAAAAACCTTTTCCTGTAAAACATAAAAAAATGCTATAGTGGTCATCAGGAAGTGACAAATAAATGCATCCAGATATCGGATACCCTTCCCATCATTATAAGTCTCAACTAGTGAGCAGCATAGAGTATACTGCATGAACAAAAATAAACAAAATATGGATAGATTATGGACAGTGAAGTGGAGAATGCATGATCGAACTTCATATTTGCATGTCAGTTCCTAACTTATGCACTGTAAAACAAAATAAATAAGAATCCAGTATATGGCAGCTTAGCAAAGATCAAAAAGGCATACTACTAATTCACAGACATCTAAGATAGCACTGTAAACCCAAATGCTTGGTTAAGAACAACTTATAGGATATCATTCTTATCACAGGAAAGAAACCCATCAATGGCATAGGCTATATGACTTCCAGGTTACCTACCAAAGGATTACTAACGAATTAATGCCGAGAAACAGATGATGTAACTGTAAATCTGTAACAGTGGGTCACGTGCTACAAAACCCAAGTAGTCACAAAGGAAATAAAAGTAACACTTCCAACATCTGTAACCTTTTCAATTGACACTGAAAGCCTAAACCCAAGATTATCTCTACTAAACCCATTTTATCCCTGTATGTGAGATCTTCATAAAAACATGTCCATGTTTCCCTATAAGTTGAAATGGGAAAAGCACCACTATTGTGGAATTCTGATCTCATATCCAGTAGGAAAACAATCTAGTCTAAAGAGCAAAGAATTTTTTTTTATTTTGGCAAAGGTAAGGAGAGTAGCAGATATTTTATCTTACGTGTTCCAGTGCAACAATTGACCACATGCCCCAGTCAATCAGGAAACAATGAAAACTACAGGAGATGTGTCTCATTTCATCACAAAGAACATTATTAATAAAGCTATAAGAGGAACACAACACCCATAGTGCGGTTTGATGGCACACGCATCAGAACCCATGCAAAAAGGCACAACAACCGCGACGTGAGCAACTAGTATAGAATCTACTAGTGCTGTGGAAGAAAAATAGAAAAAACAATCTGGGCTACATCAAACTACACCTGTCAAGAACATGAACTAACAGAAAACAATAGTCTCCCTCCACGATTGAAAATATATGTATAAGCAGTGTTTGTCCTGCCAAACGTCAGGCGTACTTATATACTAACCACTTGTATTTCTACAGCTGAAACAACGGACAGGGGGGCTCGTACGAGCTGCCTATGGCCACCCAACGATCTACCGCGATCTCGTCCTCACAGTTAGAAATCAAATCCCCCAAACAGATTCGAAGCAGGCAGACAACAGGCACTCTCTCCGGTTTCGGCGCCTCAAATCGGCCACTCTCTCCGTTTACATTTCCATTTGCATTTACAGACAACAGGCAGATCCAAGCGCGAACCCCGGGTGGGTATGGGGGAGGGGGGAGGAGGTGGGGTTTGTACCTTGCGACCGGGAGAGATCTCCGCCGATCTGAGCAGCGCCCACCGCAGCGCCATCTCCGCCTCCGCTTGGCCTCGAGTCCGTCGGATTTGGGGAAAAACCGGGGAGAGGCTAGTGTGGTGTGGGGAGGAGAAACGGGGCGAGCTCCAGGCCAGGTGCAGGAGGGGAACCAGCGCTCTTCGAGGCCGCGGCTGTGTGTGTGTGTGTGTGTGTGGAGTATAGCTGGCCAAATGGGCCAGCGGCCTGATAGCCCGCGTGCCCGGCCCGGCACGTGGCTAAACGGGCCGTGCCCGGCCCGGCACGTGGCTAAACGGGCCGTGCCCGGCACGTGGCGGCACGTGGCCCGCCTGGGGCCGTGTCTGGGCCGTGAGGCTGGGCACGCGTGCCAGCCCGGCACGGCACGCCTAGCCAGTGCACGCCCCGCACCGCACTGCAACACGTGACGCGCAGAACGAAGGAGGGGAGCGTCCAAAATTGAAAATTGGGGGCGTCTCGCACGCGCAGGGCGCAGGCGCTAGCCGCTGGCTGCCTCACTGGCTCGTTCGGGTGGGGCCGACCCTTTGCATGCGCGTGCTCCTGCAGTCCATTTGCAGCAGTACAACAATGTACACGTGAAATAAAGAAACAAAAAACTAGCGCGTGCGAGCGCGAATACGAGCACCTTGCTCGGTCGCTCGTGTCACCCGAGAGGCCAGCGTGCCAGGTGGGCCGTCGTGCCGGCCCGTGAGGCTGTTGTGCCGTGCCTGGGCCGGGGAGGCCAGCACGCGTGCCAGCCCGGCACGGCCCGTATACTAGACGTGCCTGGCCGGGCCTGGCCATGCCGGGCCGGCCCATTTGGCCAGGTATAGTATGGAGGGGGCTTTTGCCAGCTCCCGTGCTAAGGAGATGCGCCCAGCCCATGAGTCGCTGCTTCATTTTCTATTCCCCAGGCCAGGCCCATTCCCCACGGCACTCTCTCACGACAACGTGTTGACTTTCTTCTTAGTTAATGACGAAAAGAAAATACAAGCTTGAAAATCAATTAATTTATCAAAAAAAGCTTGAAAATCAATTAAAAAGAGAAAAATAGAAGAAAATTTTAATTAAAGTCAAAAATGTTATTTTAAACAAAAATGTGAAGGATGATTAACATTCATGTATGATGTCGCAGCTTACATGCATAGACTAATGCAAAAATAAATATAAATTGTAAGTTAAATGCATGGCTTGCTTATGTGGGAGACTTAAAATGCATGGTTTAATGGGAGAGAGGCCTTAAATGCATGGCTTAGTGGGAACGCTGAGGTGGACACTTTGCATGTTGAGAGAATTGGGATCAACTTTTTAATAATAGAATATGCGTGTGTTCATAGAGGTGAGTGTATATGCATGTATGTGATCATCTTCGATTGTGTTGTGTTCAAGAAGAGAGAGTTATCATTATCATCTTGAACTGGGTGTAGACCGTTTTGTAGGGAGGGCTCTCGCGATGGCCAAGGCGCTTCGTCGATGCAACCAATGGTGAGAGATGGCGACTGCGCCAGCCTTAGAGGCCCTTGGGAGGTGCAAATAGGTGGTGGTGGGAGCACCTTCAAGCGGCCGAGGGGGGGGGGGCTTCTTTGATGAGCGTGTGAACCAGAAGTGTGCCTGAGGCGGATGAGAGAAAGTGTCGGAGTTCATGGGATGAGGTCCGGGGCCATTGAAGGAGGTTGGATTGGCACTTATAGAGAGTACTTCAGCAACTGGGGTGGTGATTTTTATCTTCTTCGAGCATTTCTTCCTCTATCTTAGTCCTAGTTCTAGCGTTAATTGGAGAAGACGGGGAGGTTGTCGATCCGAGTGGATTGATTCGAATTTCAAATAATGAGTTTTGAAGGAAATATGCCCTAGAGGCAACAATAAAGTCGTTATTTATATTTACTTATATCACGATAAATGTTTATTATTCATGCTCGAATTGTATTAACCAGAAACTTAGTACATGTGTGAATACATAGACAAAACACAGTGTCCCTAGTATGCCTCTACTTGACTAGCTCGTTAATCAAAGATGGTTAAGTTTCCTGACTATAGACAGGTGTTGTCATTTGATAAACGGGATCACATCATTAGATAATGATGTGATGGACCCATCCGTTAGCTTAGCATAATGATCGTTAAGTTTTATTGCTATTGCTTTCTTCATGACTTATACATATTCCTCTGACTGTGAGATTATGCAACTTTCGAATATCGGAGGAACACCTTGTGTGCTATCAAATGTCACAATGTAACTGGGTGATTATAAAGATGCTCTACAGGTGTCTCCAAAGGTGTTTGTTGGATTGGCATAGATCAAGATTAGGATTTGTCACTCCGAGTATCGGAGAGGTATCTCTGGGCCCTCTCGGTAATGCACATCACTATAAGCCTTGCAAGCAATGTGACTAATGAGTTAGTTGCGGGATGATGTATTAGGGAATGAGTAAAGAGATTTGCCGGTAACGAGATTGAACTAGGTATGATGATACCGACGATCGAATCTCGGGCAAGTAACATGCCGATGACAAAAGGGAATAACGTATGTTGTTGTCGTTTGACCGATAAAGATCTTCGTAGAATACATAGGAACCAATATGAGCATCCAGGTTCCGCTATTAGTTATTGAACGGAAATGTGTCTCGGTCATGTCTACATAGTTCTCAAACCCGTAGGGTCCGCACGCTTAACGTTCGATGGCGATTTGTATTATGAGTTATGTGTTTTTGTTGACCAAAGTTTGTTCGGAGTTCTAAATGAGATCACGGACATGATGAGAAGTCTCGAAATGGTTGAGAGGTAAAGATTCATATATTGGAAGGTAGTATTCGGACATAGGAATGGTTCCAAGTGGTTTGGGTATTTTACCGGAGTACCGGGGGTTTACCGGAACCCCGCGGGGAAGTATTGGGCCTAGATGGGCCTTAGTGGAGAGAGAGAGGAGGGCCGCAAGGGGTGCCCCCCATGGCAGTCTGAATTGGACCAAGGGAGGGGGCGGCGCCCCCCTTTCCCTCTCCCTCTCCTCCTCCTTCCTTTTCCCATCCGGTGAAGAAAGGAAAAGGGGGGACCGCATCCTACTAGGAGTGGAGTCCTAGTAGGACTCCCCCCATGGCGCATGCCTCCTGGCCGGCCGCCTCCTCCTCCCCTCCTTTATATACGGGGGCAAGGGCACCCCATAACACATCAATTGTTCTCTTAGCCGTGTGCGGTGCCCCCCTCCATAGTTTACTCCTCCGGTCATAGCATCATAGTGCTTAGGCGAAGCCCTGCGTGATCACATCACCATCACCGTCGCCACGCCATCGTGCTGACAGAACTCTCCCTCAACCCTCTACTAGATCAAGAGTTCGAGGGACGTCATCGCGCTGAACGTGTGCTGAACTCGGAGGTGTCGTACATTCGGTACTTGATCGGTTGGATCGCGAAGACGTTCGACTACATCAACCGCGTTAAACTAACGCTTTCGCTTTCGGTCTACGAAGGTACATGGACACATTCTCCCCCTCTCGTTGCTATGCATCTCCTAGATAGATCTTGCGTGATCGTAGGATTTTTTGAAATTGCATACTATGTTCCTCGACAGTGGCATCCGAGCCAGGTTTATGCGTAGATGATATGCACGAGTAGAACACAAAGAGTTATGGGCGATAATAGTCATATTGCTTACCACCAACATCTTATTTTGATTCGGCAATATTGTTGGATGAAGCGGCCCGGACCAACATTACATGACCATGTTCATGAGATCGGTTCTACCGACGTGCTTTTGCACACAGGTGGCTGGCGGGTGTCTGTTTCTTCAACTTTACTTGGATCGAATTTGACTATGACCAGTCCTTGTTGAAGGTTAAAACAGCACACTTGATGAAAAATCGTTGTGGTTTTGATGCATAGGTAAGAACAGTTCTTGCTAGAAGCCCATAGCAGCCACGCAAAACTTGCAGCAACACCCACTAAAATCATATTCGTAATTGGGATCACCGCCGGTACGAAAGAAAAACGGATCATGCGCTATAGACTATAAGTTTGCTTCCAAAATAATATTAAACAAGTAAAAATAAGATCATATTCAGATTGTACATATTTTTCTAATCAAATTTCATATATAACATGTTAAAATCGGAGTTACAGTTTAAAAGACACGGATAATTTAGAAAAGCATTTGTTAGATTTAAATATCTTCTAAAATATTATTTAAAATATTTACAACTAAAAATAATATCGTATCATATTCTACATATTTTTCTAATCAAACTTCATATATAACATGTTCAAATCGGAGATACGGTTTAAAAGATATGAAAATTTTAGAAAAGCATTTGTTTAACTTAAATA